CTGCCTATTTCTGCCAACTTTATAACTGTACAGTTTTGTATATTAAACGTTTTTTGGAAGTTATTAATTTAAAGAAAGATCATTTAGTTTATTCATTTAGTAACTGATGTATAATAAACGCTATTTTCATTAAAGGTTGCTTTTTTCAACTATTTTATCCAAAATTGCCTATTGCAGTTGCCAACAATTATTTATTTTCAATAAATTCCGCATTATGTTTAAAAAAAAAAAAAGAGAGATTAAAAAAAAAACGTTTCGGAGAGAAACGACAAAAAAAAATAAAAAGCCTAAATGAGTGTCAGATAAAAATAATAATGAAACACACGAGTGGCTGTAACGTTTGGTTGTCGACCAGTTTTAGTCAAGGGGTTTATATTGACGCAATATTTTATTGTTGTAAAAGGAGAAAAAAAAATTAAAAAAAAAAAAAGTTTAAATAAACATTTTTACGAAAGAAAAAAACAAAATAAGACGGAAAGCTCCGGGTGCGTGGTTTGTGCGGTGGCCGAGCCGCGGTGCGGGGGGTGCGGGGGCTCCTCGGAGGGGGCTCCGCATCCCCGGGCAGGGCCGGTGCCCTCGGGGCAGGGGGTCCGCGGGGGCTCATCCCGGTGGTGCCGGTTACACCTGCCGCAGGAAAGGCGGTTTTTTGGGGGTCGAAAAGGCGCTTTCGGGATGGAAAAGGCGCTTTTTGGGGTGGAGAAAGGCCCTTTCGGGATGGAAAAGGCGCTTTCGGGGGCGGCAAAAGGTCTTTGCGGCTTTTTCGGGGGTGGCGGGGCCGGGCGGCGTGCGAACATAAACAGAGAGCCGTGTGTGTGTGCGGGGTTTCTGTCGGCGTTTGTGCCTCTCGGTGCTGTGTAGCGGCAGCAGCGCTGCCCCCGCTTCGCCCCCCGCGCCCCCGCAGCATCTCCCCCTCCACCCGCCGCCGGTCCCCCCCGGCATCCCCGCGGCCCTGGGGACCCGCCCGGGGGGTCCCGTCGTCCCCCCCCCCCCTCTCCCCCGAGCCGGGGCACGGAGGAAGTTTCTTTTGTTCCACGCTCGCCGGGCCGCGGGGGCTCCTCCGGCCGCCCCCCGCTCCCCCCGGGCGGGCGGCGGAACAATAACACTCCATCACGGCTAACGGGGTGAGACGGGGCGGCCCCGGCCCCGCCGCCCGCCGGCTGCCGGGGGAGGCAGGCGGGCAGCACGACTTCAAGGGATCGGCAGCGAAACGGCCTTTTATTTCTTTCTTTTCGCCTCTCTGAGGCCGAACCTCGGAGAAAACAATACCCAGCCCTTCTGCCAACAGTTTAGGGGGAGAAAATTACCTTTAGGAATCCTGAGGAGCGACCCGAGCAGGGAGAGAGCTCTTGTCTTCAATAGCCAGCGAGCGGACAGGCGCCTTCCCAACAACCCGGCCGTCCTGTACCTGGGAGCGAGAGGGATTTGGGATGTAAACAGCGGGCGAGCCTTTGTTTCTTAACCGTAAAACTGATTTATTTCATTTGTAAGTCTTGGCGAGCTGCAGCACCGCAGCTTTGGGGACAACTGCCCCTGTGCTGGGCAGCAAAGCCCCCACAGAGGGACCACAACCTCCAGCTCTCTCCGAAAGGATTACAGCAGCAGGAGAAGGAAATATAACCCCCAAAAGCACGTTTTTCAGTGAACTGCAGGAACAGGATAAATGCACACCGGGGACCAAACCAGGAGTAAACGGCCGCGGTTTGGAAACAACCCCAACTAAGGACACGGATGAAAAGCTTCGGGTTAAAACATGCCCTGCGTGGTCACTCTGGCTCTGAGCACGCAGGGTCCTGAGAGGCAAAGCTCTTGAAGGCAGCCTTGGTTTGGAGGAGGGACAGAAGGCGTTTCACTGAAATTAGCCTGTTTTAGAGCCCTTTGGCTGCTCTGTAAATACAACCACAGCGAGGGCTGGGCTATGTCTTATTTTAAAACAAATTAGGTTAAGAGACAAAAGAGATGCAATGAAAGACGAAATCAAGTTAAGTTTATAAACAGGAGCACTTCAAAGGCCGCTGGAAAGCTGGGGAAAATAGGGAAGGAGAATTTTGTTTAAAGAAAAGAAAATCTCTGCTTGTTATTGCCCGTCGATTTCAGTGTTCTGCGAGCAAAAGGAAACTCTTTTGTGCCACCTAATGTTAAGTACAGATCACTGTTGTCTTCTTGGCTGCCCATCTTCCATGGTGTGCGTGGGGAGGCCTCGGGGTGCTGAGCCCATCGAGGTGGAGCTCAGCATCCCAAAGTCCCACCAAACCAAGGGCAGGGGGAGAAACTTCAGCTTCACAGTGGCGGAGCGGGTTACCTTCTGAATTTAGGAGTTTTTCAAAAAAAGAACTCAAGAGGGGGTGGAAGGAAGCACGGGGTAGAATCATAAGAATGAGAGACTCCAAATTTGGTCTTTGTTATAATAGGGTAACTCCAGGAGGAGCATATTCAAGGTTTATATAAGCTGCCCACCACCAAGGATCCATTTCAGCAGCCTCTGGGCTTGCAGCAGCTTCTC